GAACTTCTACCTCTTCTGATTCTACTTGTTCATCTGATTCTTCTTCATCTTCTTCAGTACATACTCCTGTGTCAGCTCAAACTTATCAAAACCAAAAGCAAATGCTTAACATTCCTTCTTATTTACAACAACAAAGACGACGATGGAAATTATCGGACGCTGGCGTCTCTCCAATGTCATTAACACAATCGACTTCATCATCTAGTAATGTACATGAAATGTCGTTTACAAATTAAATTTTCTACTGCATTTCATACAGGGCTGGCTATATTAGGAATCTCGATTTAAACCTAAAAATAGAACATTTGGAAATCACTTTCTTTTTTTTCAAATAATGATTTATTGGATAATAATTAGTCACTAGTTGAAAAAAGAAAAAAATTTTATACAGTATAAAATAATTTTTCTTTTTCTTTGTTAGTCATTATATACTATACTATAATATTACCGCACAATTAACAAAAAAAACAAAAAAATGGAAAAAATTATCGGTAATTAGAAAAAAACTTTTTTTTAGAGTAGGATTATATATATATATATTATTTTGGGAATCGGATGTTTTCTTGTATTTTAGTTTTTATTTTTATTTTCTTTATTTGGGATTGGATTAAAATATGAATTTTAACGAATACTTAATTATATACCACCTTCTTTTCATAATTCACATCATTCTTTCACGAAAAAATTCGACTAAAAAAAAAGACCCCCCACTTCCTTCCTACTCACAAACTTATCGTTATTAATTTATATATAATTAGAGTGATATGATCTGTTATATATATTTCTTTCTTTTTTCCTGTTAAATATAACATTTTTATTTTTGTTCTCTATTTTTGTAAATATTTAATTCCTAGACTTTTTTTTTTCTTTTGCTCAATAAAATGAGCGATACGATTAGTGCAAAAATTGATTTTCATAAATTAAATAAATTCGACGTAATAAAAATTTTTTTTGCCTAAAAATTTTTGGTCAATAAAATCTTTTAAAACAATAATGTTGCTAAAATTTCTACAAATCAAGAAAATCACGAGGTATAAATATAAATCTTTTTTTTTTTAAAAAGGCAATTTCGACAAACATTTCGACATTGCTAGTTTTTTATTTGAATTCCACAAAGTAACTGTACTACCTAATGAATTTGATAAAGAATTTCATTAAAAAT